AACTTCATTCAGCTTTCTTCTTTCTTTAGCTTGCTTGCAACGTTAGCGGGTAGTAAGGTCGTAATTAGCAACGCCAGAAATAAAATAAAATAAATGTTTTCGTTTCTAAATCTAAAAACAGCAATAGCCTATTAGAACTAATTTAAACCACAGTTTCAATTATCTCAAGCTTATTTTCATTCGTTGTAGTATTTTGATAGTATGATTTATTTTTTAATTATTGTTATTCAATCAAGCCTCAAACTGATGGCACTTGTACCTATAGCCTGTTTTAAATTGAAGTTGTCTGAGGTCCTTACCATCAGCTGCTCTTGCAGTAATAATAGTGTACCTTAATGTCCCAAACGTGCACAATGTAGTGACTGCTTTTCGTCTTGTTGTTTACTTAGTTGTGTTTCCTGTATTTTATGTCTGTGTTATGTGTAAAGGTTAAAGGTGGGGTAGGTACGTTTGAGAAACCGGCTCGAGATACACTTTTTGTTATATTCCATGGAATGCTCTTAACATCCCGATAGCAATGAATATCTTAAGTGCTTTGACAAAAAGTCCATAAAAAAATTTCATCTGTGGAAGGCTCTGTAAGGAAGTGGCATATTTTTTCCGGTTGTGTATTTTCAAATTCTAGCTCACTCGAGCTGGTTTCTCCAAAATTACCTACCCCACCTTTGAATAAAAAAAAATAAAAATAATTAATTAATCTTTTTTTTAAATTTTTTTTTTTTTTATATATGTCAGATTCCTCCACGTACCACTAGCGGGAGCTGGCGTACCACCAGTGGTACGCGTACCACAGGTTGAGAACCACTGCACTATGCAATCATATTGACCAATCACATGTATTTTCTTTATCTCTCGTGTGTGAAAGTCCACCTGGAAGACGAGAGCCAGCATATTGATGACGAGAGTTTTAGTTCCACCTTCACCCCAAGCACAAGCGTATGTTTAAACCCTCAAAGCCAATGTGCCTGATTTCATGTATATACCTAGAAATATATTTCAGCAACATAATTGATTTTATTGGTATTCAAAGCAGACATGTATTTCATTTCAAATGTCTGCTTCTTGCTCTCAGTTTTTTTTCATAAACCATGGTCAGGCACAAGTTGTCCCCTATTCAAAGGAATAGCTTTCCAAGAAATGCGTGTCAATTGCCTGTGGTATTTTAGGTTATACAGTATATGTACCATGAATTCAATGCAAGGGGTGTATGGTTTAATATGAATATAGAGATCCATTAGAGCCTTTGATAGTTTGCAGCAGATTAAATCAAAATTACAATTTCAAAATAACACAAAAGGTTCTTTACCTTGGGATACGTATTTACGAAAATGATTGTGTTTTAAAAGCTGATATTTGAGTTTACAAAAAGCTTCTTTGATTGAATTTCCCCTTTATTAAAACTGAGTGGGACGTTGCGTACAATTTGAGTTGCATCTGCCAAACACATAAGGAAATAATGTGTATGTATCATAATAAATTATTTCAATGCATTACTAAACAGTTTCTATAATTAGAATGGATTAAATACCAAACTTAACTCAAAATGCACTTTTACATTTTTTGAAACTGAAGTTTTTGGCTAGTCTTTTAACATAAACAGTACATTGGAAAACAAAACACTTTTAGATTCAATGGCATTCTTTTCCCCCTCTATTTGACTAATTATATGGATAGACACGTGTAGTGAATAACATCCCAAACTATATATTTTTAACAGAGTATTGCTTACAATTAAATGCAAATCACAAATACCTGGCAACAAAGTGGCAATATTCCTTTGTGTTTAAATATTACCATTATGTTTAGTTTTATCTCAATTATTTAAGCTTTGTGTTAGACACTTCATTTGAAGCTCCAGCTCAGGTTTAGTATAGAGCCTAGTGGCTTGTCGTATTGAAATTGTTAATGAGTACTTGAGTAATACAACCACCCTACTATTCAGACATATGCCAAGTTAATGCATTAGTATATTATACCTTTTTTAACACACTTTAGATCTCAACGCTTAGTAATCATGGAAAAGAAAGGGAGACATCAAACAAATATTATGGAAAATATATTTATTACACACAACTTAACATCACAATGTGTACACGGTGTCTCTGTGAAATATTGTTGGTATTTTAAAACCCATGTTCCATCTGTGTTACAAACCATTGAGCTGCAGGTATTGTGAATCCAGGAAATGGCAGACCATGTTGACTTATGTTGTTGTGTAATGTCTGAGAAGAGACATCTGGAAGATGAGAGTCAACATATCGATAAAGTGAGCTCTAGTCCCACCCCCAGTCACGTACACTTTATGTAAGATGTGCACTTATCGATCAAAAATCTATATATATAAATACTGTATTCATGTCAATAACATGATTTAGTTTTTAAAGGGGAAAACATTTATTGTCTCAAATATTTTGAAATTCTTATATTTTTATACTTATACTGATTTTGTGATGACCCATACATTGATTGTTAATGTAACATGTATACATACATTATTTAAGAATGGAAGACACACTATCTTGAAATTGTTCATTTTATTTCACAATGTCTCTAATTTTGGTAAAGATTATTTAATCTTGTGCCAGTTTTATTGGTTATTGAGATACCCAGATTCAAGCAGGGTTTCAGATTTATTTGACATTAATCTTTTATTCATTTTAAGGTTAATCCCTATTTCACTTATTTTACTCCCAGCTGATTCTCTTTAATTCTATTTATCAAAAAGCAAATAACAAGGAACAACAGAGAGTGAGCTTCATATTTGTTTATTATTCAGTCATTCATTTTTCTCAAAACAGATGTCAAAGTTCCTGAGATAAAGTTTCCTTGCAGTGAAGTGACTTTAGTTGGAGGACATGGTGTTGCGAATCCAGGAGTTGTAGTTGCAGACCTTGGCGTACACTCCGGGCTTGTTCCTCTCGGCGCAGCGCCGAGAGGAACAAGCCCGGAGTGTACGCCAAGGTCTGCAACTACAACTCCTGGATTCGCAACACCATGTCCTCCAACTAAAGTCACTTCACTGCAANTACCACTTCTGTGGAGCCTCCCTGATCTCCAGCACCTGGGTGCTGTCTGCTGCTCACTGCTACAAGTCGTAAGGGCACACATTTGCTTTCAGATAAAATACTTTCTCAACATAAAACTGCTGCAAAGCTTTTTATCTAAATCCTTAAAAAGCGTAAACTACCTCAATAAGTTGTATTGTCAACTTACTTAATCCTGCCTCTCTCTACAGCCGCGTGCAGGTGCGTCTGGGTGAGCACAACATTGCCGTCAATGAGGGCACTGAGCAGTTCATCA